CAACCAAATTTTTGAGTTATCGCAATAAATTCACAGTTACTCATAATTTATTATCAGCCGGATTTTTTTTTCAGTAACAATTTTCATGAGGCCATAACTCCGGATGTAATGGGAATATTTTAATTATATAAACGGATTCAGAAAGTATTTTCTTTCAGCTTCAAAATCAGCATTAGAAGATTTGATGTATCTGACGAATTTACCGAATTATAGGAAAAAAATCGCAGTTACTCAAAATTTACTAATAACCGACTTATTTGAGTAACCATTTTCTCGTGGTCATAACTTTTGATGTGGTGGGACTATTTGAATTACACAAACTAAAGTTTTGAAGAGAATTTTCCTGTCTTCAAATTTGTCATTTATGCTTTTAATGTATCTCAACTAATTACCGAGATATGAAGAAATATATACCGTTACTCTAAATTTCAAAGTAATCGATGTAGTTCAGCAATCATATTCCCGATAGCATAACTTTTGATGTGATGCGTATATTTTGATTATATAAATTGATTTTGAAAGCAATTTTTCTTATCTTCAAAATTGTTATTGGCCACTTTAAATGTATTTGAACAAATTTACGAGATATTTGACAAATATTTACATTTACTTGGAATTTTTCAAAAATTCAATTGTGTGTTTAAGGTGATAGCATTGTTAAGAGCTTGTAATTCTATTTTATTTTCCGTATCAGAATTATACCACCCCTATACTCTGCTTTTCCCACCTTATGTACCCACACCTGGAATAACCAATGGCAACACCCCCCTTATTTTGAAACAACACCCAGTTTTAAATTAAATGTACCAAGTGTATTAATCTACTTAGGCTTGTTATACCTAATTGGCTGCGTGTCAAGGATTAGCACCCCTTTTGTTGAATTAATTTTTCGAATTCTCTGTTTAGGAAATTTTGTTGCAAAAAAATTGAATTCAATGTTCATAAAATCGAAACTGTATATCGAAATGTATACATTTTTTTTAATTTAAAAATTTCATTTTCTTTTACAATAATTTTCCCATTATTTATTTATTTTTGTGGTATTATTGTCAATATTATGAAACCAATAACCCCAAAAGGCAACAACAACAACAAAAAATTTGTAACAATTTTTTTAATACAATTTTTTATTTAGTTTTAATATTTTTTATTGTCTATATTAAATTACTTTGGTTCCCACACTTCGGATATTGTGAACATCAGCAATTTGGTAATGGTGCTTGGCGTTTTTTGATGAAATTAACAATTATTATTATTTTTTGTTGTATTAACAACAAAAAAGTGTGCTTAATCATTTATTTACGTTGTAGTTAAATGTTTGTCTGAGTGTGTGTGTAATTTATGAAATTGAACTACAATATTATTTTATTTATATTTATTTATTCTCTCTTCGATATGTTATCCCTCTCTTAATACGTATCCATCAAGAATAATCTTAAATTTTGAGTAACTGTATATTTTGCTCCATATCTTGGTAATTAGCTCAGATACATTAAAAGTATTAATGAAAAATTTGAAGAGAAGAAAATCCTCTTCAAAAATCATTTTTGTGTAATTCAAATAATCCCAACACATCAGAAGTTATGGCCTCGAGAAAATGGTTACTGCAAAAAATCGATTAATAGTAAATTTTAAGTAACTTTAATTTTTTTCCGATAACTTGGAAATTTGTTGAGATACATTAAAATATCTAAAGACAATTTTTAAGAGAAGAAAATTCTCTTCAAAACTCGTTTTTGTATAATTCAATTAATCCCACCACATCAAAAGTTATGACCTCATGAAGTTGGATACTGAAATAAGTCGCTCAGTAGTAAATTTTGAGTAACTGCGAACTTTTTCAAATCTCCAAGGAATTTCGTGGGATACACCAAATCTACTAATGACGATTTTGAGGCTACAAGAAATGGCTTTCAAAATCCATTTATATAAATAAAATATTCCCATTACACCTGAAGTTATGGCCTCAAGAAATTCGATACCAAAAAAATCGGCTGCTAAAAAATTATGAGTAACTGTGAATTTGTTGCGATAACTCAAAAATGTGGTTAGCTACATGAAATCCAACCATGACAATTTTCGAGATGAGAAAATTTTCTTTAAGAATAATTTTAAATAAACAGAATAACCCAACAACTTCAAAAATTATGACCCAGAGAAATTGCTTACTGAAATAGGTCTATTAATTGTAAATTTTATGTAACTGCAAATTTTTTCCGATATCTCTACTATTTGGTAAGCTATATGAAAACCTCTAATGACAATTTTGAAGCTATTAAAATTGACTTTCAGAATCCATTTATATAATTAAAATATTCCCATTACATCAGAGTTATGACCTCAAAAAATTGGTTACTAATACAAATCATCCAATATGTACTAAATTATGAGCAACTGTGTATTTTTTGCTATAACTCAAAAAATTGGTTAGGTACATGAAATTCCCTCATGACAATTTTGAAGATGAGAAAATTTTCTTTAAGAATCACTTTAAATAATCCAAAATAACCCTATAATTTCAAAAATTGTGGTCTCAGGAATTTCATCACTAAAATAGGTCGGTTAATATCAAATTTTAAGTAAGTGTGATTTTTTCCGATAATTCCGGAATTTCGTCAGATACACCAAATCTACTAATGACAATTTTGAAGCTACAAGAAATGACTGTCAGAATCTTTTTATATTATTAAAATATTCCGATTACATCGGGAGTTATGGCCTCAAGAAATTGCTTATTAATAAAAATCTGCTAATACTAAATTATGAGTAACTGTGCATTTGTTACAATAACTCGACTACTTGGTAAGGTACATGAAAACACCTGATAACAATTTTGAAGATAAGGATATCAGCTTTTGAAATCAGTTTAAATAATTAAAATGGTCCAACCACATCAAAATTTGCGGCCTCGAGAATGTGGCTACTGAAGAAGTCGGTTAGTTGTAAATTTGGAGTAACTGCGATTTTTTTCAACTAGTTCTGACATTTGTTGGGATACATCGAAAGTCCTAATGACAATTTTGATACACAAATTTTGATCTTATTTTCAAGATCTTTTTCTTCCATTTCCAACCAATATAATCAAGATAGATCCATTATATCAAAAGTTATGCTAATTACGCAAAAAAGTTCATAAAATTCGTTATTTTAGGTTCAGCTGTACTTTTTTCAATATCTTCCGCATTTGATGAGGTATATCAGAATAACTAAAGGTTAGTTTATAGATCAGATATTCCTCTTTCAAAATCTAGTTTTATAACCCAAATCGATCCATTACTTTAAAAGTTATGGCTTCTCGAAAATCATTACGAATTATTCTCCTTAATTTTGAAAATATGGTTATGTGCATACATTTCAAATTTTCTATAAAATTTTGTCAGATACATCCAAATATTTTGTTGTTATTTTAAAGCTAAGATATTCTTCTTAATTTTTCAACCAATATAATCCAGATAGACCCATTATAGCAAAAGTTATGCCCTACAGAAGCTAATTACGCAAAATGTTCATAAAATTCGGTATTTGAGGTACTGCTGTACTTTTTTCAATATCTTCGGCATTTTATTAGCTGCATCAGAATAACTAAAGATTAGTTTATCGATCACATATCCCTCTTTCAAAATCCAGTTATTTAACCCAAATCGGCCATTTACTTCAAAAGTTATAGCTCCAGAAAATCATGACTGATAAGTCTCTTTTTTTTTAAAATATGGGTATACGTATACATTTCAAATTTTCTATAAAATTTTGTCAGATACATCCAAACATTTTGTTGTTATTTTAAAGACGAGATATTCTTCTTCAATTTCCGACCAATATAATCCAGATAGACCCATTATTTCAAAAGTTATGACCCACAGAAGGTAATTACGCAAAAAAGTTCATAAAATTGGTTATTTTAGGTACAGCTGTACTTTTTTCCATATCTCCTCCATTTGATGAGCTACACCAGGACAACTGAAGGCTAGATTAAAGGTTAGATATTCCTCTTTCAAAATTGTGTTATTTAAAAGAAATCTATCCAATATTTCCAAAGTTATGGCTTCTAGAAAATGGTTACCGAAAAATATATAAAATTTGTAAAATATGATTAAATCCGCATTTTCGCAATGTTTTTGATATATATAAATATACAGATAGAGGCCCATATTTTGAACAAGGATAAGATGTCGGATCTTCTTCTATAAATACAATCTTAAATCATGATTGTAGATCGAATATATAAAAAGTTATGCCCTGCAGAAGCTCATTACGAAAAATGTTCTTAAATGTGGCAATTTTAGGTAACGTTTTACATTTTCAAATATCTTCGTCATTTGATGAGCTACATCAGGACAAATATAGGTTACTTTACAGAGTAGTTAGTCCTCTTTCAAAATCGGGTTATATTATTAAAATCAATCCAGAACTTCAAAAGTTATGACGCCTAGAAAATAAGTACGCAAAATTTTCATAAATTTTGAAAATATGGGTAAATCGGCAAATTTCCCAACATCGATGATATTTTCGTAGATATATGCCTATATTTTGAACAAATTTTAAAGATCAGATATTCTTCTACAAATTACAACTTAGATCATGAATGCAGATCCATTATATCAAAAGTTATGACCTGCAGAATTTGATTACGCAAAAAGTTCCTAAAATTGGAAATTTTATGTATGAGTGTACTTTTTTCCATATCTCTGGTATATGATGAGCTACATCAGGACAACTAAAGGCTAGTTTAGAGATTAGATAGCCCTCTTTTAAAATCCTGTTACATATTTAAAATCAATCGATTACTTAAAAAGTTATGACCTGCAGATGCTCATTACGAAAAAAGTTCATAAAATTGACAACTTTAAGTACCTCTGTACATTTTCCGATATCTTCGGCACTTGAAGAGGTATCTTCACAAATCATATCTTAAAATAAAGGTAAGTTTGACTTCTTTCAGGAAATAATGAAATATATTTTATAAAATTAGGTAATTTATTTCATTTCTCTTCGTTCTCTCATTACAAATCGGTAAACTTAAATTTCAACGGCAGAATACAAGTATTCATAAAATAGGTGCGGAATGCATTCTCTGTCGAATAATTATATTCCATATGAAAATTTCGAACAATATTAGCCACTGTTATCTCCAATTCCATATCGACAATACGCTTACCCAAACAGGAGCGGGGACCAAAGCCGAACGGCAAAAATATAAATGGATTAATATGCTTCGCCGAGTATTCTTGCATGCCAGTTTCTGTGGAGCGCAACCAACGTTCGGGTATAAATTCTAGTGGTTTGGGGAAATATTTCGCTTCGTGTAGCAGCATATTGGAGGCCATAAAAACATTAGTGTCCTTGGGTATTTGGTAACCACTAAGATTTAGATTCCGCCCCGTAATGCGTATATTACCAAAGAGCACGGGGTAGATGCGTAGAGCCTCCTTTATGCAGGCCCGTAGGTAGGGTAAGTGTTTCATATTATCCAAGGAGAAGTCGGCATTCTTACCAATATTGGTTAAGATCTCTTGGCGTAATTTTTCCTGCTTCTCCGGATTTTTGGCCAGACATAGGAAAATTGCCGACATTACCGTGGAGGTTATCTCAACCCCACCCATAAGTAAATCAATGGCTGTGATGATGGCCATTTTCCGATCGAGTTTTAACAACTTTTCCAATATACTTTTCTCCTCTCCCGTGTTGGGTTGCCGTTCCAATCTCTCCATGGTCTCTAAGACATATTTATGACATATTTCATAGACCGTATCCATGGCAGATTCAAAGCGCTTATATGCTGGGGTTTTAATATACCGATAAATGGATGGTTGTATGCCCAGCTCATAGATGGCATCACCAAAGGTAAAGAGGTTATCGAACAGGGATTTGGCTTCCGAGGAAAGGGGTTGATTTTCCAGCAAACCCATTCTCTTGTCCAAGGCTATGTGGGCCACAGATTCCAAAGATAAACGATTAATGTCGTAGATAAAATTTGAGGGGACCTCAAGGGTTTGGGGATCACGTAGGTAGCGTATCCTAAAAAATAAGGTGAAACAATTATGGAGGGGATTGTGGACCTGGGTTTTAAATCTGGAGTACTTACCTCTCAATAAATTCCGCATTAATATTTTGCAGTGGTTCTATATAGAGCCTGGTATTTTTGGGCTGCATCAGCACGGGGTTCACCATATGGCGGAATTTCCCCCAATTTTCACCACTAGAAAAAAAGAGGAACAAATAACAAAAATATATTCTCAAGACCCTAGACGAAGGGTGGATTTTTTAAAGAAAATATTTTTAAGAGCCCTTCCATAGGCGTGGATTTTTTCAAGAAAATAGGCTGTCGCTCAGAGGGAAAACCCTGTCGCTCAGAGGAAAAACCCTCAAATCGCCAGAATATTGACCTGGAAAAGAAGAGACGTGGAGAACGCTATCGCGACCTCTATCTGCGAAAAAGAGATTGCGAAAATAAGCAAAGGGATGAGACCCAACAAAAAGAGCACAACTGTAAAGAAAATATCGGATTAAATACAGCCCAGAAGCAGTTTCAAAATATCACGAACAAGGCCCAGGAACTGGCCAAGAGGGCCTTGAAACAAGAAGAAGAAGAATTAGAGACCAAAAATGAGGTCCCAAAGATAGAATCTCCATCCGAGTTTCAGTCCCCAAAAAAAACCTTGGAATTAAGCGAAGCTCCTCTAAAAGTTGGCAGGGTGCGAAGTAAATTTATGTTAAGAGGCCAGATACCTGATGAGGTCCCCAAAAAATCCAAACCTGAAAATGCGGATAAGCCATGCCTTAGCCGTGACCAATGGCAATTGGCGCCCAAGCGAGAAAAACTAAAATTAGATGTTGAAATAGGCCTGCACAAGTCCTTCCATACCGATGATCCCAATCTCATACTTTTCCAACCTCGATTTGGCCATAAAATATCCAAGGCAGAAACATCAGCGGTTCGGAAATTTCGTCTCCAACCCCTTGGGCGACATTATGATAGGGTTTTACGCAAACCCATGAAGTTTCTGAAGCCCAGGCTTCCTTACTCGGTGAGTAAGTCCTCCAATCCCGATGATCCCAACCTCATACTTTTCCAACATCGTTTTGGCCAGAAAATATTCAAGGCAGAATCATCAGCGGTTCGGGAATTTCGTCTCCAACCCCTTGGGCGCCATTATGATAGGGTTTTACGCAAACCCATGAAGTTTCTGAAGCCCAGACTTCGTTATTCGGTAAAAAAATTCAATTTGGTGGGTTATCGTTGTGGCGACCTGGGGAGACATTTGAATTTCTTACATCCTCAAAAACCTGGAGGAAAATTCTCCCTACAACCCATTGATGAATATATTGCAGGGAAGGAAAGGGAGAAGCAGCATCGATTGGAGGACTTGAAATAAAAACGCCTCAAGTTCTTGGGTATAACCTGTAGAACCCTGAGAAGGCAGGTGCGACAAAGGAGGTCACAATTTTCCTGCTCAAGTTCGGAGGTTCAGTGGATACCTGAAAAACTGCAGCAGAGTGGAGAATTGGAAGTATCGGATAAGGAGAGGAGTTTGAGGGGTCTTAACGAAAAAATGAATATACCTGCCCCGAAATTTAGTGAGCCCACATTGCGGCTACATCCTTGCGGGTGCTTCCATAGGCCTGGATTTTTTAAAGAAAATATTTTTAGGGGTCCTTCCATAGGCCGGGGATTTTTTAAAGAAAATATTTTTAATGGTCCTGCCATAGGCCGGGGATTTTTTAAAAGAACGTATTTTAAGGGTCCTTCCATAGGCCGGGGATTTTTTAAAGAAAATATTTTTAAGGGTCCTTCCATAGGCCCGGGATTTTTTAACGAAAATATTTTTAAGGGGTCCTGCCATAGGCCGGGGATTTTTTTAAAGAAATTATTTTTAGGGGTCCTTCCATAGGCCGGGGATTTTTTAAAGAAAATATTTTTTAAGGGTCCTTCCATAGGTCGGGAATTTTTTAAAAAAATTATTTTTAGGGGTCCTGCCGTATTTTAAGGGTCCTGCCATAGGCCGGGGATTTTTTAAAGAAAATATTTTTAAGGGTCCGGGTCCATAGGCCGGGGATTTTTAAAGAAAATATTTTTAAGGGTCCTGCCATAGGCCGGGCATTTTTTTAAGAAAATATTTTTAGGGGTCCTTCCATAGGCGGGGGATTCGTTAAAGAAAATATTTGTAAGGGTCCTTCCATAGGCCGGGGATTTTTAAAGAAAATATTTTTAAGGGTCCTGCCATAGGCGTGGATTTTTTAAAGAAAATATTTTTAGGGGTCCTTCCATAGGCCGGGGATATTTAAAGAAAATATTTTTAAGGGTCCTGCCATAGGCCGGGGATTTTTTTAATAAAATATTTTTAGGGGTCCTGCCATAGGCGTGGATTTTTTAAAGAAAATATTTTTAAGGGTCCTTCCATAGGCGGGGGATTCGTTAAAGAAAATATTTGTAAGGGTCCTTCCATAGGCCGGGGATTTTTAAAGAAAATATTTTTAAGGGTCCTGCCATAGGCGTGGATTTTTTAAAGAAAATATTTTTAGGGGTCCTGCCATAGGCCGGGGATTTTTTAAAGAAAATATTTTTAAGGGTCCTGCCATAGGCATGGATTTTTTAAAGAAAATATTTTTAAGGGTCCTTACATAGGCCGGGGATTTTTTAAAGAAAATTTTTTAGGGGTCCTGCCATAGGCGTGGATTTTTTAAAGAAAATATTTTTAAGTGTCCTGCCATAGGCGTAGATTTTTTAAAGAAAATATTTGTAGGGGTCCTGCCATAGGCCGGGGATTTTTTAAAGAAAATATTTTTAAGGGCCGGGTATTTTTTAAAGAAAAATATTTTTAAGGGTCCTTCCATAGGTCGGGGATTTTTTAAAGAAAATATTTTTAAGGGTCCTGCCATAGGCTGTGGCTTTTTTAAAGAAAATTTTTTACTTACCTTCCTGCCACCCCCAAATATTCCTCACTGTACATGGAGTTTTTCTGCGACAGGCGATAATAGGTAACCGCCTCCAGGCCCGGTCTGGCTGGATAGCTATCCTCTGTGCGAAATACCTTTTCATGATCCGCTAAATTAAAGCTGACCAAATTGGTGGGTAAACCGAACATTCCGGGTAACAGATAAATGTCACCATAACGTTGACGACACACCCGCATTACCGCATCGAAGGGTTTGCCATGAAATTCACCACCCTTGAGGAAACCACGAAATAGTTCGAACTTCGATGGACCAGGCAACTCTTTGAAGGGTTTGGCGGCTTGCCATTCTTGTTCCAAAGAGGAATTTCCATCTGAGTTCTGAAAAAAATATTTTTTTAATGATTTTTTTTTCTATTTTTTTAAAATAAGTTCCTACCCTTACCTCCAGACCTGTTGTATATCGCTTCGTAGAGGCTTTCAGAATGCCGTAGCTTTGTTGTGGTCTCAATATCTGCTTTGCCAACATTTCATCAGGTTTTGTTTTGTTATTTTCTTTTATTTATTTTTTTATCTATCGCTTGATGACTGGTCAAATAGTTTTGCCGCTCGAAGTGGAACTGACGCAATCCCTTAACCGACTGAGTTCATATTGGCATGCACGTTCACTATCTCTGCTTTAGGGGGGCTACTGATTTCGAAAAATCGATTAACAACTTATCTACCGGTATAGAGAGAGATATGGTCGACGGGATGCCTAAAAGTATGTTATGAAAAATCCGCATCGATTGTAGACCCTCAAAAATAGTTTTTTTTTTAAATCCAAACCTAGGCCATGAAAAATAATTTAAAAAATTGAAAATTTTTTTTCTGAAGAGATAGTCCTGAAAAAATGTCGATAATAAGAGATTCTCCGGACCTGAACCCCAACCCTCGTTCAAGTGATTCAATACCAACCCCTTCCATACAAAATCTGCAATTTCCAATATCCGCAGAAGAAGAAAAGGACATCATGCCGAGATCTGTTTATAGGGTCCTCTGCCGGAAAAATCTACAACAAAAACCCGATTCGAAAACGGGCAGTAGTATTAAAGAGAGAGGTTATGATTTCAGCAGTTCCACAAATTCCGATTATCGAAATGCCATTTTCTCAGTAGCCAAGAAAAAATGTCACGGCAAAACTTCTTCCAAAGAAATTTCAAGCAAAACCGGACTTAGCTCCGATACCTCTAAGGATCCTACTCCCGATACCAAAACCCCGGAACGCTTAGAAACCTCAGAAAAACTGCTAGACTCCCATCACGAAGTATCCAACAAACCAAAACACCTCAATGGCCCTGAATGGCGTCGGCCCTGCAGCGCAAGTTTTGTTCCAGGCATACCCCGCAAATTCCTCGGAACCTGCCCGCCAAATATTGAACAAATCGCCAGAATGTCAAAGACGCGACAGAAATTCTTTCTTACCCAGGATCCGCGTAAGACCCATTGTTTAGTTAATCCAGAAATATTCGATTCGAAGGCCTATTCGAAAGAGAAGGAATTCCGAACATTGACAAATATGGTGAAATATGGACAAAATACATGTTCGCCAGGGGTGGTGGAGAGAACTTCGGAGGCCTCCGGAGAATCGCATATTTGTGAAGTTATTGATTTGGAAAATCCATTGGGGCTGGATTTTCAGGGTTTGGACTATAAGAATACCTATCAGCAGGATGAACAGGATTTACAAAATCAAAGAAATTATCGAAGGTTGGAGAGGTACATGGAAAGGAGGAGGGTAAAGGCGCAGACGAAAATCGATGTTGATGAGGAAATGCATCAGGAAAGGTTGAGGGTAAGGGTCAAATTTTGGTGGAATTTAAAAAAAAAATATTTTTAAGGGTCCTTACTTAGGCGTGGATTTAAAAAAAAATATGTTAAGGGTCCTTCCCAAGGCCTGGATTTTTTCAAAAATATGTTTAAGGGTCCTTCCCTAGGCCTGATTTTTTTCAAAAATATGTTTAAGGGTCCTTTCCTAGTCCTGGATTTTTTAAAAAATACTTTTGAGGACCCTTCCCTAGGCCTGGATTAAAAAAATCTTACCTATCAATTCCATTACCACATCCCGACATCATGGCCCCGATTTCCACGGCCTCCGTGAGCTCATTGGACACCCTCACATTGGAGGGTACAATGTGACGCCAAGCCTCACAGATCAGACCATAATCCCTCAGGAAGCTCACATCATTATACGACTCCTCTATTGGCAGATCCAAAGAAATCAATGCACGACTTCCCAACCATGCCGAACGATCCAGCATAGAATATAATTTCGAACATTTCCGTTCGACATATTCCCGCTCTTCCGAAAAATCCTCTCGACACTATTCCACGAAGGTCGGTAATTTTTTTCCAATTCCATTACCACATCCCGACATCATGGCCACCATTTCAATGGCCTCCATGTGCACATTTCACCCCCTGACATTGGAGGGTACAATGTCACGCCAAGCCTCACAGGTCAGCCCATTATCCCTGAGGAAGCCCACATCATTATAGGACTCTTCTATTGGTAGATCCAAAGAAACCAAGGCAAGAATTCTTAACCATGCCCCACGATCCTGCATAAAATATAATTTCGAACATTTTCGTTCGACATATTCCCGCTTCTCGGACAAATCCTCTCGACAACATTCCCCGAAGGTCTCCTCTTATTTATTTTGCAGCTCTGTGTGTAGGGCCAAGGTGAAATGCATTTCCAAAAGTAGGAGAAATGTTTTGGCCTTTAGCTGATCCAGGGCCAGGAGGAAGCTCTCGGCAGTGGGGAAAACAATGAGGTTCGAATGTTTATTGGGAAAATACACTTCTTCGTAGTAGGTCTTAATGGCCCAGGCATCATCTTTGTCCCGCTGGTGTATATTCACCCGGGATCTTTTCATTATGGAGGCTTCGTAGTCTTCCAACGCGAATTGAGGATCCTTAGGTTCTTCGGAGGAGGAGAAGGTGTTGGCTTATTTTTCTTCTGAGGCCAGGCGGTGAATCCAATCATGATGCACCCTCCACTCATGATCACCCAGTAGATAATGGAAATTTTGCAGCATAATGCAGCGCACTCAATGGGCCTCCGTTAAGACAATATCCATATTCAGCCCCGTCAGCTCTTTTTCTTGATTTTTCAATTCCGTTTTCAAACGATCCGTTTCATCATAGAATGTCTTGACCCGATACACCACTGCCATGGAGTTGTCATATTCCCGCTTCTCTCATTTATCGAACAATTTATCGTACAACATTCGCAGCTCTTGCTTTGTGAGCAGTGTTGCCAATTCTTGCGATCATAGATTTTGGTGCGCACCATTTCACCCTGCACCACCATCGACCCGAATTTCAAACGGAGGGCATCATTGATCAAGAAACGAGAGGATTTATAATTGAACATTCGGATGGCAGGACGATTTTCCAGAACTTTTATGTAATTCTCATCAATGTCGTTGGCAACGCGGGGTGTATATTTGCGACAGGATTTACCAACCAGAAAGGACTATTTTCTGCGCCTTAGGCGCAGACCATTTTTCAGTCCCGAATTGAAGGTGGAAAATTTATCCCTTGGCCTTGTCAATTTCTTCTGGGCCTTCTTTTGACCTGCAAAGGGTAGCACACGAAAGGAATTATTTTCTTCCCTTTCAACATTGATGGGTTCGACTTGAAAGCGAGACCTCTGCAGCTCCTCGAAGGGTACCAGAGACGTGCGTATAAAATCCAAAGGTATCTTCTCCTTACCCTCCATCAGTAAGTAGCTGCCGCTGTCATCCGTCATATTGGAACACTGCGAACTGCTGAGGGAGGATAACATGACTCAATGCTTTTCAGATCCTACTCAAGATCTTCAGGTATTTCCGACTCTTTCTGCGCAACATTACCCTTCCGCAAGGCCTGTTTTATTTCCCTTAGAAAATTCAAATATTCTTCTCTCCCAGGATACATTAAACCCTCAAATTCCAGGGGATCCATGGTAAAATCCCTTGGCAGGCAAAGACTTTTAACACCATCCAGACTTTGAGCCTCCTCAGCACAAATTTTCTTCCACTCCAATTTTTTAAAATCCTCCATTAGATCCTCAATATTCCACAAGGGGGTTCAGCTGCCACAAATTTTTCTTCTTTAACAAATTTTGCGATCCTGCGAACCCTTCTTCGTTTCTGTGATTTCGGGTCGCACAATGTTCGGTTGATAATGACATATTTGTTTTCGGTGGAATTCCAGTGGGGTCTCGATATCACCGAGACTCCAAGACTCCGGATTAAAAATATCCTCAGGTAATTTATATTAATATGGCAGCGTGGTGGTCTTGGCAATTTCATCGAAAATTGTGATGGCACCCTTTGTCTGTTGTAGTCTCGGGGACGCCTGGGATGTTGCCGCAGGGTGGGCTCGGGGCCGCCATGTTGATTCTTTCGATAAGACCCCTTAAAATCCTCTCCTTCCAAATCGTCACTCTCCAGCACTTTTTCAGGGATTCACTTCCCCTCTGAACTTAAGGAAAAATGTTGCGATTTCCTTTGTCGTTTCAACCTCAAGGTTCTACAAGTTATACCCAATAACATGAGGACCCTTAAAAATATTTAAAAAACCTACGCCTGATTCGGGACCTTGAAAAATATTTTTTAAATATATATTTTTTATTAGGTCCCTGTGAGCTTCAATGTCCGAGATCGTGATCCTCCCCACCGACCAACTCCTCCACCGCAACCAATTAAATTGGGAAAGGTCTGTCGCTCAGAGGAAAAGCCTATAAATCGCCAGAATATTGACCTGGAAAAGCAGAGACGTGGAGATCGTTATCGAGACCTCTATTTGCGAAAAAGAGATTACGAAAACCAGCAAAGGGAAGAGGTCCAACAAAAAGAGCAGAACTGTAAAGAAAATATCGGATTGATTACGGCCCAGAAACAATTTCAAAATATCTCCAAAAAAGCTCAGGAGTTGGCCAAGAGGGCCTTGAAACAAGAAGAAGAATTGAAGACCAAAAACGAGGCACCAAAGATAGAATCTCCACCCAAAGTTGAGTGCCCAAAAGAGACCTTAGAAATAAAAGATGCTACTCTAAAAGTTGGCAGGGTGCGAAGTAAATGTATGCTAAGAGGCCAGATACCTGATGAGGTGCCCAAAAAATCCAAACCTGAAAATGCCGCTAAGCCCTGCCTTAGCCGTGACCAATGGCTTCGCCAACTGGCGCCCAAGCGAGAAAAACTAAAATTAGATGTTGAAATCGGTCTCCGGAAGTCCTTCAAACCCGATGATCCCAATCTCATACTTTTCCAACCCAGATTTGGCCACAGACCACCCAAGGCAGACATTTCAGCGGTTCGGGAGTTTCGTCTTAAACCACTTGGGCGCCATTATGACAGGGTTTTACGCAAACCCATGAAATTTCTGAAGCCTAGGCTTCGTTATTCGGTGAAAAAATTCAATTTGGTGGGTTATCGTTATGGCCACCTGGGGAAACATTTGGATTCACTCCTCCCCCAAAAACCTGGGGGAAAATTCCCCCTGCAACCAATTGATGAATTTATTGCAGGGAAGGAAAGGGAGAAGCAGCATCGATTGGAGGAATTGAAATTAAAACGCCTCAAATTATTGGGTATAACCTGTGGAACGCTGAGGAGGGGGGTAGGGCAAAGGAAATCGCAATATTCCTCCTCAAGTTCGGAGAGGGAATGGGTACCTGAAAAACTGCAGCAGAGTGAAGATTTGGAAGTTCCCCTTGAAGAGAAGATTTTGAGGGGTCTTAACGAGAGAACCAATATGCCGGCCCCGAAATTTCGAGAACCCACCTTGCGTCAACATCCCAGGCGTCCACGAGACTACGACGGACAAAGGGTACCTTCCTTAATTTTTGATGAAATTGTCAAGACCACCACCTTGCCCTATTTATATAAGTTACCTGAGGACAGGGTGAACCCGGCAAATACCGCGACACTTCCTCGAAGACCCTTTACGGAATTCCTGGAGTCCCGACATCACCACGCGCACTGGAATCCCACCGAAAATAAATATGTCGATGTCCATTATCAACCGGATATTGTGCGTCCCGTAACCATAGAAATGAAGAAGAGTTCGCAGGATCGAAAATTTGTTAAAGAAGAAAAATTCGTGGCAGCTGAACCCCCTTGTGGCAAAAATGTGGATAAAAATCTAACCTTGCCGGAGTGGAATATTGAGGAGCTAATGGAGGATTATAAGAAAATCCAAGGGAAGAAAATGGGTGCTAAGGAGGCTCAAAGTCAGGGTGGTGTTAAAAATCTTTGCCAGCCAAGGGATTTTATTTTCCACTCCCGGGATCCCAGGGAATTTGAGGGTTTAATATATCCCGGAAGAGAGGAATATTTGAAATTTCTAAGGGAAATAAAACAGGCTATGCGGGACGGTAATGTGGCAGAGAAAGAATCGGAAATACCTGAAGATCTTGAGCAGGACCTCAAAAGCATTGAGAGCTGTTTATCCTCCCTCAGCAGCTCCCAGTGTACCAATCTCACGAACGATAGTGGCAGCTATTTGCTGATGGAGGGTGAGGAGAAAATACCCTTGGATTTTATACGCAAGTCTCTGGTACCCTTCGAGGAGCTGCAGAGGTCTCGTTTCCAGGCCGAAGCCATCGATGTTGAAAGGGAGGAAAATAATCCCTTCCGTGTGCTACCCTTTGCAGGTCAAAAGAAGGCTCAAAGGGAATTGACAAGGCCGCGGGATAAATTTTTCACCTTTACTTCGCGGCTGAAAAATGGCCTACGCCTAAGGCTCCAGGTATCCCCCAAACGAAAGGAGGAACTAATGGTTGGCAAAGCTACACGGAAATATCCACCCCGCGTTGCCAACGACATTGATGAGAATTACATAAAAGTGCTGGAAAATCGTCCCGCCATTCGGATGTTCAATTATAAATCCTCTCGTTTTCTGATCAAGGATGCCCTGCGTTTGAAATTCGAGTCAATGGTGGTGCAGGGTGAAATGGTGCGCACCAAAATCTATGATCGCATGAATTGGCAACACTGGTCCGCAATGCAACAGCTGCGAATGTTGTACGATAAATTGTTCGATAAATGGGAGAAGTTGGAATATGACAACAGCATGGCAGTGGTGTATCAGGTCAAGGCATTCTATGATGAAACGGATCGTTTGAAAACGGAATTAAAAAATCAAGAAAAAGAGCTGACGGGGCTGAATATGGACATTGTCTTTACGGAGGCCCATTGGGTCCGCTGCATTATGCTGCAAAATTTCCATTATCTATTAGGTGATCATGAGTGGAGGGTGCAGCATGATTGGATTCACCGGCTACCCTTGGAGGAAGAAGTAGCTAACACCTCCTCCTCCGAGGAACTTCAGGACCCCCTATACGCCCTGGAAAACTATGAAGCCTCCATAATGAAAAGATCCCGGGTGAATATACGCCAGCGGGACAAAGATGATGCCTGGGCCATAAAGTCCTACTACGAAGAGGTGTATCTTCCCAATAAACACCCGAACCTCATTGTTTTCCCCACTGCTGAAAGCTTCCTCCTCGGCCTGGATCAGCTAAAGGCCAAAACATTTCTCCTCCTATTGGAAATGCATTTCACCTTGGCCCTGCATACAGAGCTACAAAATAAATTAGAGACCTTTGTGGAATGGTGTCGCGAGGATTTGTCGGAAAAGCGGGAATATGTCGAACGGAAATGTTCGAAATTATATTTTATGCAGGATCGTGCGGCATGGTTGAGAAGTCGTGCCTTGATTTCTTTGAATCTGCCAATAGAGGAGTCCTATAATGATGTGAGCTTCCTGAGGGATTATGGACTGATCTGTGAGGCTTGGCGTCACATTGTACCCTCTAATGTGAGGGGGTCCAACGAGCACATGGAGGCGGTGGAAATGGTGGCCATGATGTCGGATGTCGTGATGGAATTGATAGGTAAGAATTGGTTTAAAAAACGCAGGCCTAGGGTGGGACCCTCAAAAATATTTCTTTTAATCCATGCCTAGGATGGGAACCTCAAAAATATTTCTTTTAATCCAGGCCTAGGGTGGGAATCCACGCTTTCCCTAGGCCTCAAAAATCATTTTTATTAAAAAAAATCATGCCTCCTCTTTCCCCTCTTTCGCAGCCAAATTCGAAACCATACCCATGGCAGAAAGTTCCGCCACCGAACAACGCCTGCGTCGCCGCCGCAACTATTTACTTAAGCAATCGCAGAATGCCTGTCACATTGAACGGCGTATCGAACAAGAAATGCAAAAGGTTAGGAAAAATCTTGAACCACCACCGCCAAGGCGATCCAAACATCCCAGCAAGTTACCCCGTCTCTACCTCAAAAAACGCCAACGAACCGTACAAATTCGTGAAACAAAAATTACCGAACGAGCGAAATTTTTCTTTAAAGCCTTCCATGACGATGATGCGGATATTTTCCACACGAAAACTGAGATACGTGATAGCATCGCTCAGGTCGATGCGATACAGGAACAAATTGTACCCTTCTATTTTGATCATTTTTTGAAAATGAATGGCTATACACCGAATTATAATTTCAAGACACAAATTGAAATGCGTGATGGTTCGGAATGGGATCGATTGAAGGTGCGAGCGGTTATACCGGAGATTCAAGAACGATTGATGCAATGGGAAAATATGAAGAGGAAGATAATGGAGGATCATATCGCTCAGAATCCGAAAATGTATGTGGATGTGGTGTGAGGGGGGAGGGGTTTGAGAATTTTTATATTTTTATAGAAATAAATAAGTTTTATAGAAAAAATATATTGAGACTTGTGTGAGTCCCTAAAAACATTCTTTAAAAAATCCACCCCTAGAGAAGACCCTCAAAAATATTTTAGGTCCCTAAAAATATTTAAAAACCAGTAAGAAAAGTTCAAAAGTCGGACGGGGTCGACTATAAGATACCCTTCATCCTGTAGATAGAACAGACATAATATCTTTTTAGGACCATTGAGATGGAATCGGGCAAATATTGGGAGTTTGGTGTATCATTCACAAAAATCGGACGAAACTATATATGGGTGCTATATATAAATCTGAAACGATTTTCACGAAACTTAGCACACATCATTCTAGACCTTATTCATTACGTTGTGCCAAATTTCGTGCAAATCGATATTTCACGAAACTATATATGCACACATCATTCTAGACCTTATTCATTACGTTGTGCCAAATTTCGTGCAAATCGAGAGATATATAGGGTTTTGGTGCACCAATTACCTAAAATCGGATGAATATATATATATGGGAGCTATATCTAAATCGGAACCGATTTTCACGAAACTTAGCACACATTATTCTAGACTTAATTCAGTACGCTATGCCAAATTTCGTGAAAATCGAAAGATATATAGGGTCTTTGGTGCACCAATTACTATAAATCGGACGAAAATATATATGGGAGCTATAACTAAATCTGTTTCCACGCTATGCCAAATTTCGTGCAAATCGAAAGATATTGAGGGACTTTGGTACACCAATTACACAAAATCGGACGAAAATATATATGGGAGCTATATCTAAATCTGAACCGATTTTCATGAAATTTAGCATACATTATTATAGGCTTAATTCAGTACTCTGTGCGAAATTTCGTGCAAATCGAAAGATAAATTGAGACTTTGGTGCACCATTTACTTAAAATCGAACGAAAATATATATGGGAGCTATATCTAAATCTGAACTGATTTTCACCAAACTTAGCACACATCATTTTAGGCTTAATTTAGTACGCTATGCCAAATTTCGTGCAAATCGAAAGATATTGAGGGACTTTGGTACACCAATTACACAAAATCGGACGAAAATATATATGGGAGCTATATCTAAATCTGAACCGATTTTCATGAAACTTAGCATACATTATTATAGGCTTAATTCAGTACTCTGTGCGAAATTTCGTACAAATCGAAAGATAAATAGAGACTTTGGTGCACCAATTACTTAAAATCGAACGAAAATATATATGGGAGCCATATCTAAATCTGAACTGATTTTCACCAAACTTAGCACACATCATTTTAGGCTTAATTTAGTACGCTATGCCAAATTTCGTGCAAATCGAAAGATATATAAGGACATTGGTACACCATTAACCTTAAATCGGATGAAAATATATATGGGAGCTATATCTAAATCTGAACCGATTTTTTGCCAATTTCAATAGGGTTTGTCCTTTGGCCTGTTACAAGCATATGCACAAAGACATAATACCCTGTGCCAAAGTGTGGCGAAGGGTATAAAAAATTCACTAGAGAGTCCTTCAAAATTATTTTGAATCCTTGAAAAGGACATTAAAAAATTGACATATTTTTTATTTAATAAACTCCTTTCCTATTATTTTTCCAAATAATTCCCCATAGATTTAATTAACACCAAACGACAGAAAAAAAGAAATCAAAGGCCAAAATGAGACATATGTTTTTCTACCCCATTAACAGCCCACTAATGAACAGCAACAACAACACTGCCAACAACCACAACGACCAGAAATCTAAACATCCCAATAACACAATCATCATTTTCATCGTCTTGGCACTGAACCATGTAATTCCTCAGGGAGAGAGTCCTGGGCGAACAAATTGAAACCAAATGTTTGTAAATTTCATTTAATTTTTCGGGGGGTTTTTCCTGGCATAAGGAGTAGCACTTCGTGTATTGTTGTTGTTGTGTTTGTTGTCATCGAAACAAGGGATGTTTTCTGTGATTTTATTTTTCAATTCATTCATAACCTCCGAAAAAAACAATAACCTCGATGTGTGTACGAGTATGTCCTTCCGTTTGGCCTTTTTTAATTTCTTCTACGAGGTTAGCTATCGCTCTGCAGGATTTTCGCCGTTGTTGGTAAAATGAGCAGCAGTGACAACAACAACAACTATCGAAAAAATTGTCATAGCATAGCAAATCTTTATGTGATTTAATTGTAATTCGATATGCTTACTGGATATTCTAGCTGAATTGAATTGCTGCCGTTGTAATTCCTTCATTCAAGATTTTTTGTTTTTTTTTTTTTGCCATTGCGTATTTTGCCAACCCCCAAAATATCCTGGTTTTGTATCATCATATTCTTTGTGATGTAAGATTTGTTGTTGTTGTCACTTTTTGGGTGTATTTATTGGGTTGCTTGGTTTATTATTATATCCTGGCTCCTCCTATTTCTTCAATGGGGGGAACAAAATGGAAATGAAACGAATGAAACAATGAATTAAAGGAATTGAATTGCTGACATATAATTCTATTAACACCTGAGAATTGTGGATTTTTTGGAATAGTATTTCTTAAGGACTACCACAAGGAGTGGATTTTTTTAAAACATTTTTTTCAAGGACTAAATAGAGAGTAAAGAAAATCAGGGCTAATTTTAAAAATTATTTTTCAATGTCTAGAATTTTTATTTTTTTTTTAACCAACACAAAGCTTAGAACTTTTTATAAAAATCCACGCCTCTCAAACAATGTGTGTTAAATTTCGTGAAAAGTGGTTCAGATTTTGTTATAGCTCCCATATATATTTTCGTCCGATTTAAGCTAAATGGTGCACCAAAGTCCCTATATATTCTTCGATTTGCACGAAATTTGATATAGTGTACTGAATTAGGTCTAGAATGATGTGTGTTAAGTTTCATGAAAATCGGTTCAGATTTCGATGTAGCTCACATATATATTTTCGTCCGATTTAAGGTAAATGGTGCATCAAAGTCCCTATATATCCTTCGATTTGCACGAAATTTCGCACAGCGTATTGTATTAGGTCTAGAATGACGTGTGTCAAGTTTCGTGAAAATCGATTCAGATGTAGATATAGCTCCTATATATACGTTCGACCGATTTAATGTAAATGGTGCACCAAAGTCCCTTTGTATCCATCGATTTGCACGAAATTTGGTATAGGGTACTGAATTAAGCCTAGAACTATGTGTGTTAAATTTCGTGAAAATCGCTTCAGATTTCCATGTAGCTCTCTTATATGTTTTCGTCCGATTTTAGGTAAGTATTACACCAAAGTCCCTATATATCTTTCGATTTGCACGAAATTTGGCATGGCATACTGAATTAAGTCTAGAATGATGAGTATTAAGTTTCGTGAAAATCGATTCAGATTTCGATATAGCTCCCATATAAATTTTCGTCGGATTTTAGGCAAAGGGTGCATCTAAGTCCCTATATATCTGTCGATTTCCATGAAATTTGGCATAGCGTACTGAATTAAGTATAGAACGATGAGTGTTAAGATTCGTGAAAATCGGTTATTATTTCGATATATTTACTTACTTACTTAGCTGGTTTGTTACAGAACGGCCGAGCTTAAAAAAGATTTCCAAGCGCGTCGGTCTTGTGCGCATCTCCTGCAATTTGAAATACCACGTTCTAAGATGTTGTCTTCTACTTGGTATCTCCATCTAATTCGTGGCCTTCCCCATCTGCGTAAACCATCAGTAGTCTCGCTTTTATATGCCTTTTGAACTGGGGCATTCTCATTTATTCACACAACATGACCGCTGCAGCTCAATTCCACTGACTATGTCAATGTCTGCGTATAAATTGTAAAGCTCGTGGTTCATTCGACGCCTATATTCACCGTCGACGCAGATTGGCTCATAGATCTTTCGGAGAACTTTTCTTTCAAACACCCCAAGAGCTGCCTCATCCCATGCTTCAGATCCATATAACAGCACGGGTAGTATCAGCGTCTTGTAAAGTGTGAGTTTGGTCTGGCCGGGGGTGGCCTTGTTTCTAAACTGCTTACTTAGACCATAGTGGCATCTGTTGGTCATCACAATCCTTCTCCGAATTTCAAAACTGATGTCATTAGTTTTATTTATATAGTTTTATTTCTATAAAATCTTTAACCACCTCGAAGCTGTAGTTCTCAAGTTCCACAGTTGGTCCGTGTCTACTGGACGTCTTGCGCGTTGATACCATCAGCTTGGTTTTCTCGCCGTTTACTGCCAGACCCACTTTGGCAGACGCCTTTTCAATTTGTTCAAAGGTGGCTGTTAACGCTCGCAGTGTTCGACCCATTATATCGATGCTATCGGCGTAGGCGAGTAACATATCCTGTTTGGTGTACAGAGTGTAATTTCTGTTCAACTTTGCCTCTCATATGACCTTTTCCAGCAGGATGTTAAAAAGGTCACACGACATACTATCACCTTGCCTGAATCCTCGTTCGGTATTTAAGGGCTCCAATAGGCTCCTTCTTCAACTCTACAGGAGGATGTGCCTGCACCAATGCCTTCGGTTTGGTGTTTTACCCGTTGGTAGAATTTTCGGACTTCATTCTGACTCCTGTACATCTCGATTTGCTCACGCTCACGTTTTTCTTGTTCTTGTTCTCCCTCGCATTACGTGTTGTTACTGTCCCCATTAGAAAGTGAAAATTTCGCGCTGATCGCTTTGAAATTTAACATGAAGTTCCGGTTATGGTCTAAGATGATGCCTATAATTTTCGGTGATGTTGAGATGATATTTAGGTGGTGCAATGAACCGAAACCTTTATTTTTTATCAGATTTATTAGATTTTCGTGGTGGTTGTGTAGGGGTTTATATGGTCAGACCCGCCTCGCTGGTTAAACATACTATAATCGTTGGATAATTATTTTAAAATATAAAATTAAACACCTTTATATTCCCTGAAATTTTTTTTTTTTAAAGTTCAAATCTTTTCATCCGAAACAATTTTAAAATCTTAAAATT